AGAGCCAACATGGTGCAATGGTTTGAGCACTGAACTAGGACTCTTGAGAGACCAGAGTTCAAATCTTCGCTCAGCCATGGAAATCCACTTGAGCAAGTCACACACTCTCTCAGCCTCAGAGGAAGGCAAGGGCAACCCCCCTCTGAGCAAATCTTGAAAAGAAAGCCCCATGGAAACCTTGTGTATGTGTTCTCTGCCTTTAAGTCATTCCCGACTTATGGAGACCCTAAGGTGAACCTATCTTGGCACATTTCTTCAGAGGGGGGTTTGCCGTTGCCATCCTCTGAGCTGAGAGCATGTTATTTGCCCAAGGTCAGCCAGTGGGTTTCATGGCTGAGATGGGAATCGAACCCTGGTCTCCAGAGCTGTAGTTCAATGCTCAAACCACTATGCTAGGCTGGCACTATGTAGGTATTGTAGGTACAGATTCATAACTTACTTCGTAAGTTACTGATCTGTAACTGCTCTGTACTCAGTAGAACTATAAAGTCACTATTGCCATGACTGTAAATGCTCCTGTCAAGCCCACCTTAAGACCCAGCAGCCAGATTGGATGAAGGGAGTCTGTTCAGTTGCTGATCGAGGGACAAAGAGGATCATATTTTCAGTTCTTTCCCACCAGTGAGCAAGGCTGTATCTATTGAAAGGAGAGCCTCTGTTTCAATTCCTTATGGTGGCTTTGCTCAATGGAAGGAAGGGGCTGGAAATAGCCTTCTCCTTGCACCCCAGTCAGCAATTAAACAAACTTTTTTCACCCTATACAGCTGCCGGCTCTTTAGGTGGGCTTGGAGGGTCGGGCCAGGAAACATTGTTTAGCTACACATACGCAACTAAGCAGATGATGTAGAAAATCAGCGATCATTTCTTAGCTATAGAAGATCTGGAAAGAGTCAGTGAAAGCATGACCCCCCAGGGTTCAAAGGTGCGTTTTCTGATTATGACTTCATAAAATACATAATAGAGTTATACCATATCTTGGTAAAATTATCTGTCTGCATTTGTCCTCTGGACTCTCGTAATTGTTGTATTCGTCTTAGTTCTTCTATCAAAAGTGAAGACTCTTTTAATAACCAATTACCAATACAGAGAGAAGTAATTGCTTTCTGCCTACATGGAGTCTTCAGCCTGGCTGCAATCGCGGGGGGGGGGGGGGGGGGGGGGGGAAGATACCAAGGTTTTTTGTAATACCTTTTTCCCATTAGAATCAATGCATAAATGTAAGAGCCTCAACACTAGTGTTATTTCGATATTACAGTTTAGAATTTATTTATTTCTTGTTGAACAGCTCTCCCCAAACTGGGTGACCTGAGGGCAAGTCCACCATTGCAAACCATTGGTACAGTAGATAAAGTTGGGTTGGAGTCCTTGACCTGAATCTTATAGTAGCCTCAACCAGAGAAGATCCATTGAATCAAAGAGGTTTCACTATGGATTGACTCATCAATTCAGTGAGCAGACTCCAGACCCAAAGATACATGTGATTTACCTTGGTGTTGGCTCACCATTCAGCCATTGGTTCAATAGGTCTAATCTAGATGGAACCCACCCACAGGATCCAGGCCCATGAAAGCTTTTGCCCAACCAGACTTGTTCATCCTCAATTTGCCATGAGATTCTCTGTTCATTAGAGGCCACTAACATTTTAACTACTGTTTTATGTGCCCTTACCATGAAAATTGATTCCACCTCAACCATTTCAGTTACTTTTGTTTAACTAAGGAGTACAATGGGTTATAATTTAATGTTTTCAAGAGAGGCAGATTCTGCAGAATAAATATTCCTAGATACTTAATTGCTTTGGCTTGTATCAACAATCTTGACTTTTCCCTTTATTTGTTTTTCCACTTTTCATCAAGATTAAAAGAGTGTGCTTAATTCTGAGTAACTACCTCGGCCAATTTTCCATCTTCCCAGACTGCCTTTATGATCACTAAGAACAGTCCCATTGGAGACTGAGGGGGAAAAAACAGTAAAACAAGCCAACCAAGAGCCTAATGCTTTCTTATGAGTACCCCATCATGACCCCCTGAATTGTTAAGGTTTTAGGGACCACTTCAACTAACAGGTGTGTCACTGTGGCAAATAAGGGCTGGACTCTTATTGGTTAGTTGCAGCCAGAATAGACCCATTCCACCCATTGTTGAATGGTGAATCAAAACCTATGAAAATCCAATTGACTCAATGGCTCTAGTTGGGACAAACAATAAAACTGAGCCCAAGAATAGCATGAGGGAACAATCCTATCTGGTTCCTCTCACTAGCCCAGGGTAAGGAAAGTGAGACCCATATGTGTCCCCAAGTCCTACTTTTGCAACCCCAGAAGTCACCTGGGGACCCCCAACGTCACATGGACGGTTTCTCAAAAGTAGGGAGAAGGCTAGACATTAGCAAAAATGGCAGCTGGAAGTGACCCAACATTACTTCTTGGTGACTCCAAACTTGATGGTGTAGCCTACAAGGGGATCATGGGTCCAAAAATGGATTCCCTTCCACCATAGTTGCTTGTGGTATGTTCTGGTTCAAGTATTTCTAGGAGAAATATGTTCGCTCTGGGCAGGATTAGTGGCATCTAATGTATGTACAAGATACATGAATTCCAGTCCTGTAGGTTGTATCTTGTTTAGATGGCAAAAGATGCATGTTTAGGGGGTCTGCATCTTGTTTAGAAGGCAAAAGGTGTGTTTGAGAGGGAGCTATGTCTTGTTTAGAAGATAAAAGATGTGTGTTTAGTTGCCTGTATCTTGTTTAGAAGAGAAAAGGTATATGCTTAGGGGGTCTCTATCTTGTTTAGAAGGCAAAAGATATATCCTTAGGGGGCCTGTGTCTTGTTTAGAAGGCAAAAGATGGATGTTTGGGAGGGGTGCATATTGTTTACAAGACCAAAGATGTGTGTTGAATTGGCTGCATGTTGTTTAGAAGGCAAAACATTTATTTATTTATTTATTTATTTATTTATTTATTTATTTATTTTCTATGCAGCCTTTCTCCCAGAAAGGGACCCAAGGCTGCTCACAAATAATGTATTTTTAGAAGGGGGCATCTTGTCTGGAAGTCAAACATGTTTTTAGGGGCTTTGTCTTGTTTAGAAGACCAAAGGTATGTGTTTCCAGGAGGGAGTGCCTCTTGTTTATAATGCAAATTCTTAGATGCTCCAGCAAAAAAAAAAAAAAAAAATTAAAAAGGGATTTGGGGGCCACAAAAAGCCCATGGGACACAAGATTACCACCCCATTTTATAGCGAGGCATGTGTTTGGGGAGATACTGATGAGTAAAATGTGTGTTTGGGAGGTATGATGAAGGTAGTTGAGCATGTGCCTAATTGGCTCTTTTACCTGTCAATTCAGCATAAAGCCTGCTTGATCTTCTGCTGTAGAAGTAATCATCTAATTCAGCCTGTTTGCCAATATTGCTGTTTTAAAAATTGCATCTTTGCTGAACACAGTTATTGGCCTAAAAGAATCAGCTTTATGCAGGTCTTTCCTGGGCTTACAATAAAGACATGATTTATCAATTTTCATTGATCTTGTTCTGAGGAACATTAAGAAGAACCTTGCAAGATTAGTTCCCTAATGCTCCTGCAGTCCAGCATTTTTGATAAGATTCCCAGCACTGCATATTGCCTAGTAGCCTTCTGGTGGACATACTCCATCATCTGCCTTCTGGAATAATGCATACATACACAGACCGCGATTCTACTTGTGGAGCCTGATGGATTTCCAAGCTATCCTGCTTCAGTTCTTGAAGAAAAATGACATCAAAATATTCCACAATGAATATTGCTATCGTCCCCATTCCTAGGAACCATAAAAGAAAGAAAAACTTGCATGTTCTTCGTATCCCAGGAAAGGTGAAATAAATGTGAAAGCATTTTTTACCAATTTTCCACTCTTGCCAAATTCAGCAAGCTTACTATGTGCAGAAGCACAGCTGCTTCTAGCTGATATTTTTGTCCCTGATCCTTTATAGGCACAAAATCAAATTCAAAAAGGAGAATGGTCAGTCCTTCAAAGCATCTCTTCTCTTTCTGTCCAATTCCCTTACTTTGATGACTGGAATGGAAACTGGTGTGGGTTCTCCATCTTTCTTCCCTTCTCATTTCCCCTCCTATTTTTGGGACAAACTGAGCTGCAGCACTGTACTTACATGTATGTGTGTGAGAGAGAGCACGCACACATACACACGCTTCATGGTTGACCCCAAAGGCTATTTTACAAACATCTTTTCAACTTTTCAGTTTACAAACATGGTCGGAAGTACTCTTCTAAGTCTTCCTTGTCCTCTACTTCTTTCTTCTTTTTTCATTCTTTTTTTCCTTTTCCTTTTTCTCCTTCTTCTCTTCCCTCTCCTTTTTTCTTCTTCTTCCTCCTCCTCCTCCTTTTGCTGTTTAAATTAAACATGTTTAGCAAAAACTCCAAATATGAAAATTCAGGGAATTTACATGGGTGTGTGTGTGTGTGTGTGTGTGTGTGTGAAACAAGAAAGAATATGAATCCAAAAGGAGAAAGTGTCATAATTCATAGAAATCAATGCCTGTTAAATAGGAAACACTGAGTAATCAAACACCCAGCATCCAGAGTCAGCAACCTATAAATCTCCCCAAATCTTTTGCAAGTCCTCATCACTTGGCACTTCTTTCAGTGTTCATATGTTTCTTGGGATTCTTGACCCTTGGGATGTCTATATTTAATGACTCCTTGTCTTACTTTTTGGTTTTCTGGATTATCGGCATTGTGTAAGGGCCAGCTGAGACCTTGCCCCTGTGCCTCCATTCTTCTTCCATGAACTTCTTGGATGATGCCAATGATGAATATTCCACCTTTTCCCCAAGACTGGAACTCAAAGCAGCTTGTTGTTGTTGTGTGCCTTCAAGTTGTTTCCAACTTTTAGTGACCCTAAGGCCATGGGGTTTTCTTGGCAGGTTTCTTCAGAGCGAGGTTGCCATTGCCATCCTCTGAGGCTGAGAGACTGTGACTTGCCCAAGGTCACCCAGTGGGTTTTCATGGCCAAGCAGGGATTCAAACCCTGGTCTCCAGAGTCATAGTCCAATGCCCAAACCCCTACACCATACTGGCTCATGCCAAAGCAGGTTAAACATTTAAGATTACAATTAACAACATACAAGAAGTCGCAGCAGAACACACTTGTTAGTGCCTAGATGCACATCTTTGCAATTCACCAACAGAGTTTCATGGCATTTGGCAACATAGCTTCAGCTTTGTAAAGTTATACAAAACACAGACTCTGATGTAGAATCTCAGCCATTTTTTTTTCATTCCTCATGGTTTTATATAGATATGTAAAAGGTACCAATCAAGAAATCATCTTTTAAATGATACGATTATCTTCTGCTGATTTAAGGAACATCCCTGGTTGATGAACTTTAAAATAATTTCTTCCAAAGTTGAAAGGGAAAAGATTTGGAAGGCAAGCGGGTTGCTTTCCCCACCCATCCTTCTGATCTCATTAAAATACACAAAATCTCCTCTTCTGTGTAATGAAGGAGTGCTTCCCCCCACGGAGATAAAAGACATTTCCTAAAGCTTCGGCTGCAAACGTAATGGACTTCTCTGTCAGTTTTTAAGGGTTGACCTCCTTTCCCGTGTGCCAAATTGATAGATGGGAGAAAGAAATGAAAAGTCCAAACTGTTATACTTTGACCTCTGCTCGGTTGAGAGGAACTATGGATAGAAGCAGAAATTGCAGTAAAAAGCACCAGTGTTGGTTTGTTAAGGAGGTGGGGGTGGAAATCTGAAATCAACAAGAAGGAGAATGCTATTATTAAGCCCCAAAAAAGCACAAAAGAAGAAGGTATGACATGAGAAAATAAGAAGAGGCCTTGTTCAACATTTTGTTCACACAGCAGCCAGTCAGTTTCCTTGGGAAGTCTTTTAGCAAGACAAAAGTGCAACTTATAGTCCAGTATTTTTGTTGTTAACTGCCCTTGAGTCGATCTCGACCCATGGCGACCCTATGGATGAGACATCTCCAAGACCCCTTGTTCTCCACTGTTCTGCTTAAATCCTGCAACCCCATCTCCATGGCCTCCTTCATAGGGTCCATCATCTGGCATATGGCCTCCTTCTCTTCCTCCTTCCCTCCACCTTCCCCAGCATTATTCTCTTTTCCAAAGAGTCCTCTCTTCTTCTCATGATATCTCCAAAGTACGACAGCCTCAGTTTGGTCATCTTGACTTCTTCTTCCAGGGAGGTTTCCACCTTGATCTGCCCTAGGACCCTTTTGTTTGTCCCTTTGGCTCTCCATGGGACCCTCAGCATCTTCTCCAGCCCCACATTCTCTCAAATGCATTGGTTTTCTTCCTACCCTCTTTCTTAATTCTCCAGCTCTCACATCCATCCATGGAAATAGGGAAAACAATGGCTTGTATGATTCTGACTTTTGTGCTGAGTTGTATATCTTTGCATTTTAGGATCTTTTCCAGTTCCTTCATAGCCACCCTCCCCATTCTTAATCTTCTTCTGATTTCCTGACTGCATTCCCCATTTCTATCCATGTTGGATCCCAGGTATGGGAATTCTATATGGTAGATATTTTGTTAATCCAGTCGGTCAGCACCTTCGCACTGGTCTTGCAATGTGTCTTCCTTGGGTTCTTATTTTTATCTTAAAATTTATTTATATCCCACCCCTTGGGGATCCAATCATATTCTTTTCCCTCATTCCAATCACTCAGTCTCTATTTACAGCCTAGCCTTTCATTTAACGGCGCCAACATTGCTGCATTCTCTCTAACAGCTTAATTGCTGCACATTCATAATGAGGGTTGTTATGGAATGGGGGTATATGATCATAGGCAGCATCATTTGCATGGCATTCGTTAGGAGGCAAATTGGGATTGGCCTTATTAAATAAAATGTTAGAGAAGGTAATGCTGGTGTCCTTCAGCCGAATGATGGGTTATTAATGGTAACCTTTCCCTTTAAAACACCTTTGTATGTACATCGCCCAAGATCCTGTTCATCCAATTGCATAGTATAACATTATGCCAACTGAAGTTACTAGATTGCACTGTGTGTTTTATTTTTTATTTTTTATTCCATCTATCCATACAACTCATTGAAAAACACTTAACATTATATTCCATTTATTATTTTCTATATATCCCTCCCCCCCCCATCTCATAAACTATATTTATATTATTGCACTTCATACAATTCCCCCTTCCTCTTGTGGTTTCTGCTTGGTGTGAATTTTACTTTTCTTTTTTGACTTCAAATGTTTTATTGTTTGTGTTCATTCTGTCTTTGTTATGTTTGGTGTGTGTTTCACTTAGGAGGTTGGCTTTTGAATAGCCATACTAATCCATACTTTCTCTGTGTCATCTTTAACAACTCCGCTTTTCTTTGCAAAATTTCAAAAGAATGTCCCATTCCTTCTCTGTTTCTTCTCAATGCGACCCATCTGTTGCTCTTGTTAATTTATCCATTTCTATGGCTTCTAACAATTTAACCACTGGATTGCACTGTTGTCGCACAACAGGTCATCCAACACCCCATTCACACTGAAGACCCCTCTTACAGAAAATCCTTGGTAGCATCCCTTCCAATGTTGCTCTCTTCCAAAAGTATTGGAAAGTAGTTAGTATTCTTCTAGTTATGATTATAAAATAAAGCTAAAAGTTGCTTTAAACATATGAACTCTAAGACACTGGCCTCTGGTACAAAACACAGCCTTCTTCTGTCTTCCTCAATATTACTTCAACACAACAAGAGCACACAAAGCAATAATTTGAACCATGTGATGGTCCTCCTCCATCATTTAGTATGTTCCTCTAACTAGGAAAGTATCTGAAAGTTAAGTCCTAACACAAATGGAATGTGTCCTTGTTAAGTTACACTTGCCATGCAACTCAGTTGTGGCTGCATTATTGGGAAAAGGAATTAATTAATAATTACTAGTTTAAATAAATATTTGAGACAATTTACTTCCAAGCTGTGGTTCAACCACAGCAGTTTTTGAGTGTTGAGGCAGAATTTCCCATTAGAAAATCCTACTAAGGAAGCAGTGAGCAATATCTGGGCCATTTGCATTATTCTAGCCATGATTTCCATCCAGAAGCGGGCCTTTAGCCAAAGGCATGGTAATGATATTGATATTTTTGCAATTGGAGGATGCTAATCTGACCCACGTCCTGCATAAATAAATGGAATTTCTTCTGGGTGCTGGAATAGATACAAGCAAGTCTCTCTTTTTTTAACCTTTGCAAAGTCAGTTCACTGTTTTTGCAAAAAATATGTTAAGCTTTCTATTGTTCAGCAGTACATCCAGTACTGCAACTGTCTCAGAAAAGAAGAACCGTAGTTCAGTGGCAGAGAACAAGCTTTGCATGCAAAAGGCCCCAGGTGAAATGGAGTCAAAGTACAAACTATGAGGAGAGCCAGCATGGTGCAGAGATTTAAGCATTGGTTTACAACTCTGGAGATCAGGGTTCGAATCACTGCTGAGCCATAGAAACCTACTGGGTGATCTTGGGCAAGTGGAAAGCAAAGGCATTTTAGAATCTTTTCTAGTTCTTTCATAGCCACCCTACATAAAGAAAACAAAAATAATGACCATGGAAGACCTTCACAAGTTCAACCTAGACAATGAAGAAATAGATATAGGAAAAGAATTACCATACCTGGGATCAAACATGGATAGAAATGGGGACTGAAGTTAGGAAATCAGGAGAAGACTAAGAATGGAGAGGGAGGCTATGAAAGAACTAGAAAAGATTCTAAAATGCAAAGATATACAACTCAGCACAAAAGTTAGAAGCATCCAAGCCATTGTATTCCCTATTATTCCCATGGATGGATGTGAGAGCTGGACAGTTAAGAAAGAGGATAGGAAGAAAACCAATGCAATTGAGAGAATGTGTTTCTGGAGAAGAGTGCTGAGGATCCCATGGAGGACAGCCAAAAGGACAAACAAATGAGTCCTAGAGCAGATCAAGCTGAAAACCTCCTTGGAAGAAGCCAAGATGACCAAACGAAGGCTGTCATACTTTGGACACATCATGAGAAGGGAGAACTCTTTGGAAAAGACAATAATGCTGGGGAAGGAGGAGGGAAGGAGGAAGAGAAGAAGGCCACACGCTAGATGGATGGACTCTATTACGGAGATCAGATAGAGTATTAAGGGTTTGCAGGATTTAAGAAGAGCAGTGGAGGACAGAGGGTCTTCTTGGAGATGTCTCATTCAAAGGGTCGCCATGAGTCGACATCGACTTGAGAGTAGTTAACAACAACAAAACCACACCTGCAACAGAAATGACGTGGTTTGAGGCTGTGCCGTATCCGCTAGTTTGTTTCATAACCAAGGCCTGTCACTTTCCATATGCCCAGGAAAATGCTCAGGGCCACGAAAGAAAAGGAACTTTTGGCAATTACTGAACTCTTACAGCAGCTTAGCTTAACATGATGAGGGATAATTATTGTCAGCCTTTCTTTTTTTCCCTCTCTCTCTCAGCGTGTGGACAGAACATTGAATGGAGTTTTGTTCCCCTTGAAACGCTCCCCTTATAATTTTAGCATTATGTTGATAAATGCCGGTAATGAAACGGTATGCGCTTTATTGCCAGTGTTAATGCTCAATTCCTGTCTGATGGTTTAAATGTCAATGTATAATTTCTCCCCCCTTGTTCCCAACAAACATTTCAAAAGATCTGGGAAGCTCAAGCTGTTCTCTTATTTTTCCCCCCTTCTTTTTTCCTATTCCTTTCTTTCTTATTAAAAAAAAAAGACTGCAACCCTGAATGCTCTTTGGTTTGTTTGTCACCTTTGCCTTTTGTCCTGCCCTGCAGAAAGTCACCAAGGCAATGAGTAATGGAATCATTTCGCAGCGGTGGGGCTTCGAAAACGGGCCGCTCCATTTCTCTGACGTTTGCAAAGTTCTCGTGTTGACAGCCAAACATGCCTTTTTTGTAAATGAAAACCAGCGAGAGAAAAAGGAAAAGATGGAGATTTTGGTCCTCTAACCCAAGCCAGCTTTTGCTTCACCATTTGAGGAAATAAATATACAGGACTCGATTCTAGATCAGGGGTAGGCAACCTTTCCCCTTTAAAGGCCGAGGG